TTTAATTTAATTTATATTTGTTAAATTTAAGTACTCCTTAATTTGAGTGAAAAGAAAAGAAAAAATAGAGAAATAATGTGTTCCCATGGATACGCACTTGCAGCTACCCTCGAAATGCCTTTTAGATAGTTTAAAAATATTTGCTTGATAAAAAAAATTGAGATAATTCTGAAATTGCGGGCATAAATATTAATTTAAAAAGACTTGAGATACCTTGTTACTATAAAACTAAAGACGCATGATCAATCTCATAAAAAAAAAAAAGAAAAAGAAAAAGAAAAAGAGACGCATGAGCAATAGGCATAATCAAGGCACCACATCCATTCGGACATCATGATCAAACATGGATTTGTTGGAACAATACATGGTCAAATGAGGATGAAACTTGATTAAATGCGTCCATTATCAAAACAGACACTTTAGGTGCATTTACACACCTATTCGACACATGATCAGAGGAATGTGCAAACCACCTACCAGTTCAGATGGTTCTACCACTTGACCTTGTGGTATCCGCTTACCCCTGCCAGAGGTTCGATTATCAGAGGCCACATCGATCCCCATCCCCCTTCCCCTTTAACAACAGCCAGTTGGCTTATAATTGCCTTATATATATCCAAAATATACACACATATATATATATAATAAATATATATTTATATATAAATTGTACACATTACAAACAAACAAAACTTCCTCATTTGTCTACAAATAAAAAGAATATGGATCGAGCGTCCAGTCGCGAGATTGTCTGGCAACCGCGCGATCTGGCTTTTGATTTATTCCGTCGGCAAATAAAATATATAATATATATGGGCCAACTGCGTTGGCTTCTTCCTTGCGGAAAAAGGTATATATACACCTCAAGACTCCAGGGGTAGGTGTGTGTGGAAGCAAGGACAACGGTGAGAAATTAACAGAGCATGGACAATAATCCAACGTCCCTCGGCCGAACCACCGATCCTGACGCCATACAAATCGGTAAGGTTCTTCCTTCTCATCGATGTACCCTTTTTTTTTTAATTAATTAAATTTAGTTGATAATATCAAAAGAAATCTGATTTTGACTTCTCTGAGTAACACAGAGAAGAGAGATGGAGAAGTACTGGATCAAGTGAAGACACAGGCGAGCGGCTCCAAATTGGTCGGGAAAAAGCGCCGGGCCCTCGAGGTTGCAATAGATCATCATCAGCTGCATTTTTCTTGGCAAATTAATTAACATCTTAATTAATAAATTGAATCTTGTCTTGCTCCCTCCTCCAATGCGGAACAATATGATTTTGAAGAAGCTTAAGAAGATGGCAGCAAAAGCGGCACGAATGAAGGCCGAGACAAGTAACTTGAGGGCGGAAATGGGGAAGCTGGAGGCTGCTGCTGAAGAGAAGGAAAGGGAGGTCAAATTGGAGAAGGCAAAACGCGATGGATGTCTTGCTGAAAAGCTGCTTATGTCAGTGACAGAGCACCTCCTCCTCGAGGAGATCGATTCCGTTCCCCCCGAGTGAAGACTAGCCGAAATGCTGCTTATGTCAGTCCTTCCGGAGATTCTGGTCCCCCAAGTTTACACTAGTAAATCTAAGGTTGGCACTCCTTGTAATGTGTGTCTCCGTTTATGCTGTTGACGGGGTGCCTTTTTTTTTTTCTTTTTTTCTTTTTTATTGAGTTTTGTGTATCTTGTCTTAAATAAGGGGTTTCCAATTGAATGCAAGCAACTAGATTCAGTAAGGATCTTAGGTTTCCAATTGAATGCATTGCTGACTTTTCAATTCAATATTTGAGTTAAATAAATCTACAAACTAACTATAAAAGAAGGGTTTTTAAAACATGTATTTTAAATATATAAATTGAAAGTGTATTTATTATATTTATTATTATTATTTTATATAAATAATTAAGTAAATTTATTTTCAACACTAATATTAAATAAAAAATTTTAATTAAATAATTAATAAAATTCAAATCAATTTTTTGTATTTTTTTTATTATTTTGTATAAATAATTAAGTAAATTTATTTTCAACACTAATATTATATAGAAAAATTTAATTAAATAATTAATAAAATTCAAATCAATTTTTATTTTTTTAATGTAAATTAATGGTATCCTTAAGAAACATTTCATAAAACAAAACAATTTTGTCTTATCCAACTGATTTTTAACATTATGCATAATGAAAGGCAGTCCGGCACCTTCAACCCATCGATGTATAATTTCTTTTCTTGGT